AACCAATTGTGTCACAGTAATCCGCCACCCAGATCAACTCTAGGTTCGAATATAGCGTCATGTTTGTTGTCCTTCTGTCAAGTAGGAGATTTGGACAACGATAATATATATCGACAGGAATACAACTGACTTCCACCAAGATCGAAACATGGCCAAATTTCCATAAGACACATTAGACATTCATTAACATGTTTGGATGTTGTGTAGTCACCAAAGATAGATAGGGATTCTAAGTAGGATATTCCTTCCGCCAATCCTTTAGCACCTCATCTAGTTTGCCGCTATTTTTTTTAGCGAGGTTTTAGCCTTTTGAAACTAGGGATGACAAAACAACCACTATCCCCACTCACACATGGAACCATTCGTATCGATAACGTGTGAGTTTATTTTGATAGATATGTTTTGTTTGTTGTTCTTACAAAAAATCTTCTGTCACCACTAAACATCGAAACATTGTTGCCCCGCCCCTAGTGTTTGGTGGGTTTACACTAAGCGATCAATCTAAAACTTAACTGATTCAACTTCCTCTGTGGACCGTCTCCGTAACCTTGTCTGATGATATTAAAAGTTCCCGAAAATGTATAAAGTTTTGCTGCAATTCGAAGTAAGTGAAATTGAAGTACGTCACAGATCATCCACTTTTGGAGAGATCTTTATTACTCCCTTTTAATATTATAACTATTTATCTTTACGTCAAAGTAACGGTATACTTGATGAAATTTAGTTTTTTTCATGCAGATATGGTTTGGAATGATATATAGAGGTAATTAATCCTTAGAGCTCTATTGACCTATATCAAACAAAGTTTCAGAAGGATCTTTGTAGATCGGTGATCAATCCGATTGTATACACCATGCACACTAGTTATTGTCTTTACTTCAAGAGCACGCTTTGCATATCTTCTTTCTATTTCACAATTTGTGCATGATAAGAAGAAGTTTTTAAAAGCGATAGCCAATATCAAAAGGCGTTTTTCGTTGTCATTTAAAGAGCTAGGAAAGAGAGGAAGACATAATGTCTAAGCTTCTAATTATACTGTCATTATAAAATAATAATTTCTCTACAAACAGTAGGTACACTATTGGCAATGGATTATTTGTCAATAGTGAGCTTACCACGTTTGTTAACATTTAGACAACGGATGTGTATAAAACTTAGATTTCGACAACGAATTGTTGCAATGTTGTCAACATTACATAGTCTTGTCGTATGTATGTATATACGTTGATAACGGATGTTATTGAAAAATTATAAACAGTATGGTGTCAATTTGGTACCAGGCGTGTATATTTTTTCCTCTCTGTGTATAAAATTATTTTTTACTTTTCAACCACCAGGCACTTTAGTTTTTTTTATAAATTTTCAAATTCCTAAGTTTTTTACAATTTTATAAAAATTTTATATAATTTTATAATTAGTAAACTTTTGCGTAATATTTTTTTCACTTTATGCAACAATTTAAATCTCTTTATGTATCACAAACCATTTTCTAGCTAAAATTATTTTTGTATTTAAATCAGAGGATTTTGTAATAATAATAATAAAAAATATAAATAATCCTTAATATAATAACTATGCAAATATTGTAGAAATAATAAAATATAACTTAAATCTTTAAAGCTCCTTAAATTATTTAAATTACGATAATACTATTAAAATACGACAACCAGTTTTTTTTCAAATGATTTCACAAAGATTTCTATAATATTCTTTTTATAAGATGTTATATAAATCTTAAAAAGTACAATTGTAAAAAAGCTGAGTAAAAACATTTGTATTTAAACTTGTAAATGCTATTTAAAAAAAGCACGTTTATTAAGCATGCCTTAAATAAATAAAATAAAGTAATTACTTCTACACAATAATATAAAACAAAATCTATCACTTAAATTTTAAATAAAAAAAAAAAAAAAATAAATAAATAAAAATAAAATCACTTTATAAAATACTTGACAAAAAAACATAAATTTTTAGCTGCAACAATCAATTTTCAACGCTTACTTTAAATTTTTACACTCTTTATTCGTATATAAATTATAAATAAAATGGAAAAAAAATTACACAATTAAAAAACCTAAAATGTCACTCTTTAGTTTGTTGCTCATTACTACAAGGCCTTTTTTAGCTAAAATGGTAGAGATTTTTTTTATAAAGTCATGTTTTTGATAAACTTTGTAATGTTTGAAATTTCGAGGTTATGTTTTGGTTTAAAATAAGATTTTAATTTAACACTGGAAAGAATTCTTCAGGTTTGAATTATTTTAGAATTTCTTTCCATGTTAATTGGCCCAAGATTCCATAGAAATCCTACCTCCGTAATATCGCGATCTAAGTTATAAAGTTTATGGTTGGTTGGTTTACGTGGTAGTTCACTACACGCGAACTGTCAAGTAAAATCGAAGAGACTCCGTTTTGACCGGACCACTCCATAAAGTTTATATTAGTGAAGATAATTCCACATAAATCCATATATGAACTGAGTATTCCTAATGTAATGTTTAAAATGATCATAATCTTTTGATTAGTCATGTATAAAATTGGATTGTATATACTCAACGTACGAGTCAGAAAATGGCGTTTTAAAGGGACAAAAAGCTCTCTAACATAGTTGGAGTTTTTTTCTATAAAAGATGAATGTATGCGCAAGCTGTTTACCGATAACTGGTTTAATCCCTGCCAACAATTGGAAGAAAACCGGAATATAGGCGACCGAAAAATAGAAGATACTTTGCGAAATAATTTTGTCTTCCAGATGTAATCGTTTAAGTCACTTCTTGATGATGTTTGAAAGATTTGTTTGACAAAGTTAGAAATATTATCGAAAGATGTTTAAAAAGAGAAGTTTTGCAGTTAATTCTACTACAGTTTTCTAGATCAGTTTTTAAAGTACTAGATCGATTCTAGTTCAGTTCTAGTTCAGTTCTAGTTCAGTTCTAGTTCTAGTTCAGTTCTAGTTAGTTCAGTTCTAGTTCAGTTCTAGTTCAGTTCTTCTAGTTCAGTTCTAGTTCTTCAGTTCAGTTCTAGTTCAGTTCTAGTTCTAGTTCAGTTCTAGTTCAGTTCTAGTTCAGTTCTAGTTCAGTTCTAGTTCAGTTCTAGTTCAGTTCTAGTTCAGTTCTAGTTCAGTTCTAGTTCAGTTCTAGTTCAGTTCTAGTTCAGTTCTAGTTCAGTTCTAGTTCAGTTCTAGTTCAGTTCTAGTTCAGTTCTAGTTCAGTTCTAGTTCAGTTCTAGTTCAGTTCTAGTTCAGTTCTAGTTCAGTTCTAGTTCAGTTCTAGTTCAGTTCTAGTTCAGTTCTAGTTCAGTTCTAGTTCAGTTCTAGTTCAGTTCTAGTTCAGTTCTAGTTCAGTTCTAGTTCAGTTCTAGTTCAGTTCTAGTTCAGTTCTAGTTCAGTTCTAGTTCAGTTCTAGTTCAGTTCTAGTTCAGTTCTAGTTCAGTTCTAGTTCAGTTCTAGTTCAGTTCTAGTTCAGTTCTAGTTCAGTTCTAGTTCAGTTCTAGTTCAGTTCTAGTTCAGTTCTAGTTCAGTTCTAGTTCAGTTCTAGTTCAGTTCTAGTTCAGTTCTAGTTCAGTTCTAGTTCAGTTCTAGTTCAGTTCTAGTTCAGTTCTAGTTCAGTTCTAGTTCAGTTCTAGTTCAGTTCTAGTTCAGTTCTAGTTCAGTTCTAGTTCAGTTCTAGTTCAGTTCTAGTTCAGTTCTAGTTCAGTTCTAGTTCAGTTCTAGTTCAGTTCTAGTTCAGTTCTAGTTCAGTTCTAGTTCAGTTCTAGTTCAGTTCTAGTTCAGTTCTAGTTCAGTTCTAGTTCAGTTCTAGTTCAGTTCTAGTTCAGTTCTAGTTCAGTTCTAGTTCAGTTCTAGTTCAGTTCTAGTTCAGTTCTAGTTCAGTTCTGGTTCAGTTCTAGTTCAGTTCTAGTTCAGTTCTAGTTCAGTTCTAGTTCAGTTCTAGTTCAGTTCTAGTTCTAGTTCTAGTTCAGTTCTAGTTCAGTTCTAGTTCAGTTCTAGTTCAGTTCTAGTTCAGTTCTAGTTCAGTTCTAGTTCAGTTCTAGTTCAGTTCTAGTTCAGTTCTAGTTCAGTTCTAGTTCAGTTCTAGTTCAGTTCTAGTTCAGTTCTAGTTCAGTTCTAGTTCAGTTCTAGTTCATGACTTCCGCTATAAGAAACTGTTTTTTGGGAAATCTAACTATTAAGCAAGTGTTCTTATTAAACTAAAACGTAGAAATGAGATGAAAAATATCAATTCAAAGTTTATCAAAATTATGTTCAAGTTAAAATATCTCAAGAACTTTACTTGACTTGAGTCAGTGAGAAGAAAAAATAGAGTGAAAATTCATCTTGTAAATATATTTATTTTATAAAATTATAATTATACTTAATACTATAAAATAAAATGAAATAAAATATAAAGAAAAACAATGAAATAAAACACCGAAGAAATGAACTTAAAAAAAAACATTCAAGGAAAATCCAACAAAGATTTCAAAATACAAGATTTATTGCTTCTAAATTAATTCCAAAACAAAATAAGAAATAAAATTTATAAAAATATATAGAAAATCTATTTTTCACAAAATATATTTTGTGAATTAAAAAAAAATAAAAATATTATCAAATACAATAACAAAGAAAAAAAAAACACATTTTCAAGCCTAATAAAAAATTACAAAAAATGAAATACAAAATAAAAATTATATTTGTATTTAAGCAATATTAAATTTTAAGTTTAAAATCCTTTTTTTTATAAATTTAAGCATGGTTAAGTCCGTTTTTAAATAAAACAAAAAATAATAAAAAATAAAATAAAATTTTGAACAATGTTATAGAATTTTTTTATATAATTTTATTTTGCGAAAAAAATTTGAAACACAAAAAAAATATTTGTTTTTGTTTAAAAACTAAAATGTTAAAAAAGAAAATACAATTAAAAAAATAAAACAAATAAAATTTATGAACAGAAAATATCGAAATAAACTTATAAAAATAAAAATTTTGAAAATTATTTACATCGTACAACAGGTGAGTGAAAAATATATTAAAATTAAATATAGAAAAAACTACTTGGTAGTAAGTTAAGTTAAAATTAAATACATATTATTAAAGCTTTAGTCCTTAGCATGTTTTACACGTAAATTTAAATTTATTTATTTATAACATTAAAATTAAATTTAAAAATACTTTTTTTATTTATTCTTTAAAATAACTTTTTATTTTAATTTGGGCAAAAAATCTACCAGGGTCTCCATACATTAATACCCTCCTCTACCAATTCTTTTTTCATTTCTCTACCCATTTCATATGGCATTTGTGGTTCTTCTTTACTAGGCATATTATGGGAATTTATGGGCATAATGGGCATTTGTCCCACTGTTATTTTATTATATGGTATTCTTTGGTTATATGCTGTCAATTCTCGGCTTATTACTGCTCTGGGAGCTGTAAAACTGTTGGCTAATCTACTATTTACTGTTGCTGAGGTTGGGGTTGCTGCTCCACCTGGTGCGGCTCTAATATTTGGCACATAGCTGCTGATATGTTGTATTAATTCACCACTTATATGTTGGTCGTATTTATTAAGAAATTGTGCTACTTCGGCGGCACAATGCTGAAAACCAGACCAAAATTTCTCCATATTTAAAGATTCATTATGGCGTACGAATAGAGCATTTTTCTCTCGCAAACGTTGCAAATGTCTTACGGTTAATTCGAGTATATCAGCCTTTTCGAGTTTAGAGACATTTTCACCGTCCTGAAAGTGAAGAAATAAGTTTTTTATTAAATTTAACGTCAGCGATTACTTATTTAAAAAAATGTTTTAAAAAATATTTAGTTGTAAGATTCGTTTACCAAGAATATTGCAACAAAAAGAACTAAGTTAAAAATAATTCACACATTCTATTAAAAATAGCTTTAGAATCTTTCAATCTTTATAGTCATAAGATTCAATTAGTTTCAACGTTCCGTTCTGCTATGAATCAGCTGATTCGTTTTTGGCTTAAGGAAGCCGTGAGGTTGCCGTTGGGTTTTTATATGAAAAATACGAATTAGCTGAAGAAATTAACTAATTTAGTAAATAATAATTCACAAAACCTTTGTGATCTTTTGCAAAAAAAAAATCAGAAATTGACGATGGATAAATTGTAACATTAGCACAACAATTTTCTAAATTTCCTTCACTTTTAAGGCAAAAATCTGTACCGCTTTTCCTAAGAGTAAAGTGTTTACAAAATCCTAGCAAAAGTATTTTAGTTTTGTAACGCTGTTTCTATAAACAATTAAGAACAGTTTTTCAAGATCATTATTATATTTCTACCACTTTTATATTGATCGATACAAAACCTAAAATTTAACTAATTTGTTCTAAAAGAACTAGTCAATCCAATCTGTAACATATGCTTAATAAAGCGTTTTAAAACGAAAAACACTTATAAATCTCTTATTATGATTTTATGATTAAATTCGATATCAATTTCTTTATAAAATTAGTTTCGTTCAATATGGAACATTGATAACAATATTTCGAAATTTTAAAAAATTACTATTTTTTTCTTATATTTTGAATTTTTATGTTTAATTTTTTTTTTCTTATTTTGTTATTTTTACAAAAAAAAATCTAATTTCATTCATAAATTCTTCCCATCCTTGATTTCAGGAAATAAATACAACAACAACGTATAACCTAAATCTGCATGTTGTTGTAGTTTTCATTGTGTTTTTCTTTAAATATCATTCTATCATTCTATCACACTCAATCTGTTATAAGTGGCTCACATGGCTCCACATAACTGGGGTCCCATTAACTTCCAGAATTAAACAAGATGGTTTGGTTTACAAAGTTTATGACACTTTTTAGGCTTATACCAGATAGCTCCTCCATATAATAGAGAACAGCAGAGCCGAAGCAATGTTGTCTGCTCTCACTGAATAACGGACAATAGCAAAGGATCGTAGATATTGTTTCCCCTTCATCTTCATTATGACAACTTCGACAGTAGTTGTTGTATTCGAGACCCATTTTTCTGGCGTTACACAGTATCCCGTTATGCTTGATAAAAGTGTTCTTATATGCTTCCTACGAAAGCTTAATAGTAAGCTTGACCTAGAAGTAACTTATAGAGGCCAAGTTGACTTTGAATTGAGACTGGTGGTTTCGCTAAACCATCTAATTTTTGCTATTTACTGGTATCTCCCTTCAGTTTGTAAGGGAGATACCAGTAAAGGCGTCGATTTCATATTACCATGGGTTATTTCAAAACATTGCCCATATCTCCCTTATTATACCCTTCACCTTCATGAAAAGGGCATATACATATAAGTTTGTCATTCCGTTTGTAATTTCCAAAATATAATTTTCCGATATTTCAAATCGGCCCTATCCGTTCCACATAGAGCATAAAAATATACGTCGGAAAAGTATATTACTTTTTCAGGGGCAAACAAAATTTTAAATTTTTTAATACAAAACTGGAAATTTTTGATATAAACTAGTGTCATTGTTTTACCATGACATCTATACGGAGAAAACTCAAGGATAGGGGAAGCGCTTTACCCTTCTTTCAAAATAAGCTTCCAAAAATGTATATTATACTATTAAAAATTCAAGAAAATTTGTTTGTGAATAGTTTTAGAAAATCGATTTGCGCGGAAGGTTTTTTGGCACCAAAATGACCTGAGAAACAAGCTTTCGTTATAAGAACATTACTAGTTACTACGTAGTGATAGGGCCTGATTTAGGTTATAACCCTAATATACATATATATGAATCCTTATAGATAGCAGAGTCGATTAAGCCATGTCCGTCTGTGTGTCTGTTGAAATCAGTTTTCTGAAGACCTCAGATATCTTCGCGATCCAAATCTTCAATAATTCTGTCAGACAAGCTTTCGAGAAGTTTCCTAGTTAAAATTTGAAATTTTGTAGTTTTATGTTAAATACATATATTGAGGAAAATTGTTTTAAATATGTTTTTTCATCAATATTTCATCTGTATTTTAAAATAATACAAGTTTACAAGTTTAATATTTGACCAATTCATAATCGATGTCGTATCATTGTAACATAGTATGTACTAAAAATAATAAATAAATTACGACATACTACGATACAACCGTACAATTCCGATTGTTAATTAGACAATTTTTTCTCGGAAATACGAGAACTGTGAGTAGTATTGATAATATGTTTTTAATCGTATTTTAAAATTTTTTTTTAATTCCAAGAATCTATTTAACATAAAAACTTAAAATCTTCTAAATATTCTAGACAATTTAGAAATATTTGTTTATTTGTTTATTTAATAAACAATTTGAAAATAGAAGTGTGTCACAACGATTTGAAAAGAATTCATTATGCGCAAAAATCTTAAAAGTAAATAAACATTTCACACATCAATTGTTAAACACAAGATTAGGCTTTATAGAGATTTCAAAAAATTTTTTATCAATAAAAAAAATTCGGAACTTTTTAATCAACACATAAGTAAGATTCATAAACACTTTATATGTATAACATTACAGTTTATGTTTACATTACATATTTGGCTACGCCCCTTCAATTCATTATCTAATTAATTGTAAATCGTCCCGCCCATAAACATACATTTAGCTCGAGTGTTACACATTTGTAACTCTCTTACAATTAAAGCTCTTTAAAAATGATAATAAAAAGAGGTACAGATAAATAGCTTTATGAACTGTTAACAAGTTTTAAAGATTCCAAAGTTGTTTTTAATTCATTAAAATTTTAGAGTTTAAAAGTATAAACCAATCAGAACATAAAATTTTCTGAATAAGTTTAAATTTTAACAAAATTAACAGATCTAAATATTTAGCATTTTCTTCGATGAAAAAAAATCATTAATCTTCACTTTAAAATCTTGCATTAGAAATCATTTCAATTAAAATGTATAATTTAATTCAAAAATTTTAAAGACCTACCGCTTGCAAGGTGCCGGTCATTAAATCCTTTAACTCATCCAAACACTTGTTAATCCGAGCACGTCGTTTACGCTCTAACATGGGCTTCATAATCTTGCGATACTGATAAGTACGCGATACGGGTTCCATAGGTAAAGAATTAAGCATAAATTGATGATTGGGTGGCATTCTGGCGGTAAAACTCATTCACTTTTATTTAGAAAATTGAAACAACACTAACAATTTACTTATTTCTTGGTATTTTTTAAAATTTATTATTTTATTATTTTTTTAGGTTTAGAAATTCTTTTTTTGTTAGAATTTTTTAATATTTTGCTAACGTTTTCTTTAGAACACACACAACAAACTTTTTAAGAACCTCCAACGAAACGTCTTAACTTCAACACGTTCACATTTGAAATGATCTTGTCTTGTTGGAAGACAATATTTTTATTATTTTCTGTGATCCCCACAAAAGCAATTGCATTAACAACTACAAACAGAGAACCCCCCCTTTAAAAAAGAGCCACTTGTATGAATGAATGAATAAAAGTGTCACAATGTTGAATCCAACATAAACACGAGAGAGCTGTTCTGTTGTTTCCCAAACCATAGACACCACCAACCATAAACTAAAGCTTCCATACACTCGTCCATAGGCCACGCGCTCACTGCCAGCCAGCCAGCCACTTCATATAACACCAACAAACGATGATCGCACGATCGATGATCACATATGTAACGAAGAAAACAAGTCTGAATTGTGAACAGTAAAATCCATTAAAACACGATGGCTGGCTGTTGGCACGATGTCGACGACAGTCGTTATTGTCAGCCAATAAGAAAACGTGGTATAAACCTTTGGAAGAGAGTTTTAGATTCGAGTTTTTCGAAATGACCACAGAGTATTCAAAACTAGTTTATGGTGTTTTCTACTGAGTGTACGTGATGTTTAGTTTGTTGTTGTTTATGTTTAGTGTGATTTACTGTAACAGATGTAGTGAAGCATAAAATTTTATGAATGAAATTCTTGAAAAAAATGCTTTATTGAACTTTTAAAATGTTCGTAGCGTGTGATCTTGTTTGTGTGAAGTTTGCATGAAATTTTTTTTGCTAAAATAAATAAACAAATGTTAAGAATGAATGAAAGATTGTAGGAAACAGAACGAGGCGTTGGAAAGGAAATATTTATGAAATGGGGAGTCAAGTGACAACTGGTAATAAGTGAAAGAGGAATACCCTATAAGTTAGTTATTTTGAATTCCAATGTTTCGTTAAAAACATTATTAGGTTTTAGTTTCAAGCGTGGCAAATGGTTATGAGTGACTGATATTAATGTCATTCGGAAAGGTATTTAGTGGAGTCCATACCAACATATCAAATCGCTCGCGAAGAAGTGGAATCGTGTGTGGGTCCATAAAGTCAAATAATATTAGGCTATGTTGAAAGGAGGATGTACAAATTCGGAAAAACCCTTATGACACTATTGGAACTGGTATGCAAAAATCTTGTATAGTGATCTATGAAAGGAATTATCGTCGAAAGTAATTTGAATTATTTCGGGATATAATATTTTGATGAAAGCCAGCCGGTGGAAAATAAAGTGCTAAATAGTCTGAGTCCGTTCATCCAATTTTGTATAATTGTGCCTATGTGTCCACTTACAGTACGTCTCATCACACTTAAACATGCCTCGGACTCATTTATTCTGAGAAGACTTCTCGTCCAGCCCTCGTAACGTCTAAGGGTTGAGTATCTTGCCTTTCCTTTATAAAACGTATATTTTGTCTATATTAGTCTGAGTCTGTTCATCCAATTTTGTATAATTGTGCCTATGTGTCCACTTACAATAGGTGTCATCATACCTATACATACCTCCGACTTATTCATTATGAGAAGACTTCTCGTCCCTTGTTACGTCTAAGGGTTTTGCATATGTCAGCTTGAGTTCCTTGGCTTTCCTTTATAAAAAGTATATTCTGTCTTTTGTTGCCGATTATTTCCGATTGGTCTGTACCCATATGATGCCAGTGCTTACCAGTAGAGTATTCGATTGTAGCTCTTTTACAGTCCTATACGAATTAGCTGATATCATACTGATTATCTTCTAGATGTCGGAAACTATGTTGGCATCATATTTAAACCATTTTGCGATGAACTTCCACCTGTAAAGTAGAATTGTGATTAGGAAGGCAGTATTATTGGTTTCCGGGTTTTAAATGTTGATACCACAGCCCGTTTTGTTTCCTATTTCAGAGCCATCAATATAACAACCACAATCTACTTCTGCGACCAAAGTCTTACAGTTTCCGATAATTATTTGTGTATAACCAACGAATATGTTCACTACATATACCGGCTTTGATAAATTCGTATATAGATAAGCGCCGCTCGGCTCCTCGCCCTCTTCTCTTACGTGCCTTTCTATTCAATACTCAAAGCCTTCGACCCAAGCCACATATACGCTGAACCTTTGGGCATAAAATATTTTTGTATAAACCTGATATTTGTACTTTATTTGCAATGTTTTATATCAGAGTCGTAATAAATGAATGCGAAGAAATAATACTGGACTAACATCAGTTTAAAGAAAAAAATACTTCTTAATAGTCAGGACAACTTTTAATTTCTCAAACTCTCTACGACCATTGTTATCTAGGTCGTACGATAAAAAGTATAAATTAATACTAGTTCTCATCAAGTAACTAGATATTATTTACCTTACTGCAGTATCTATTATTGTAGTCCTTTCAAGTGAAATAATGAAAAAGAATCTCAGACGCTGTTCATTTAATAAAAAAAATCCTTTTAGTTGTATTCCTATGCGCAACACTGTTGTTGTAGCTAATACTATTATATTATTGTTGCCGATATTGTAGTGAAAACAATGATGAAGGAAAACTGCAAATAAACAAATTTAGCAAAACATTCTTACAAATCGCAAGTAGTACATATCTACAGATTCTCAAGAGGAAAGAGAGAAAAAAATAAACAATTTCACTGAATGATGATGCCGCTATTGTAGTTAATAATAATAACGACGATGATGATGATGTTGCTGAAACGTTGGTCTGTCTCTAAATAATGTCAAACGGACAGGACGGACTGACAGTCAGTAAGTCAGTCTAATAGTCAGATACTAGCAGTACGCTAATCTTGTTATGAATTGTTGTTTTCTCGCTTCTAACAAATATAAAAGAAATTTAGATTTTCTCTGTTTTTTTCGCTTAATTTTTTGTTTACAATAACAATTTCTGTTGTTGCTGTTATCTGTGTTATATGCCGCTGGTCGTAGTTCATGTTTTTGTTGTTTGGTGTTTGTAATGTTGTTAATATACTCTCGTACTAGTAGATACATAAATACAAATGTATATGCAAGTAGTTGGTCGGTTGTTGGTATGTTGTTTGTTGGAACGAGTAGTAAAATGTTTTGTAGAAGACCTACGTTTACGATTGTGCGACAATGACTCCCGTGGGATAAATTTTGCTGAATGAATGAGTCTTGAATAACAACAACAAAAACAACATCAACCAAAACATTAATGATCATAAAACAAAATTGCGGATATGACAGGGAAATAACAAAAACAGAAAAATGCTGAAAATATTAAACGGAATGTCTTTAAAAGAATTTCACTTAAAAGTTCTTTAATAAAGAAATATTTTGTATAAAAATTTTATATTTCTCTGTGTTCGTAACATTATATAACCAAAGGCGAAAGGATTACCTGTATTGATTTTAGAAGAAATGGCTCCATGACGTCACTAAGCCCCAAAAATAGAACAGAACTACAATTGAACCAAAACTAACCTAGAACTGACCTATAAGTGATCTAGAAGTGAACTAGAACTGAACTAGAACTTAACTAGAACTGAACTAGAACTGAACTAGAACTGAACTAGAACTGAACTAGAACTGAACTAGAACTGAACTAGAACTGAACTAGAACTGAACTAGAACTGAACTAGAACTGAACTAGAACTGAACTAGAACTGAACTAGAACTGAACTAGAACTGAACTAGAACTGAACTAGAACTGAACTAGAACTGAACTAGAACTGAACTAGAACTGAACTAGAACTGAACTAGAACTGAACTAGAACTGAACTAGAACTGAACTAGAACTGAAGTAGAACTGAACTAGAACTGAACTAGAACTGAACTAAAACTGAACTAGAAAACTGAAACTAGAACTGAACTAGAACTGAACTAGAACTGAACTAGAACTGACTAGAACTGAACTAGAACTGAACTAGAACGGAACTAGAATGAACTAGAACTGACTAGAACTGAACTAGAACTGAACTAGAACTGAACTAGAACTGAACTAGAACTGAACTAGAACTGAACTAGAACTGAACTAGAACTGAACTAGAACGGAATCTAGAACTGACTAGAACTGAACAGAACTGAACTAGAAACTGAACTAAAACTGAACTAGAACGAACTAGAACTGAACTAGAACTGAACTAGAACTGAACTAGAACTGAACTAGAACTGAACTAGAACTGAACTAGAACTGAACTAGAACTGAACTAGAACTGAACTAGAACTGAAACTAGAACTGAACTAAACTGAACTAGAACTGAACTAGAACTGAACTAGAACTGAACTAGACTGAAACTAGAACTGAACTAGAACTGAACTAGAACTGACTCGAACTGAACTAGAACTGAACTAGAACTGAACTAGAACTGACTAGAACTGAACTAGAACTGACTAGAACTGAACTAGAACTGAACTAGAACTGAACTAGAACTGAACTAGAACTGAACTAGAACTGAACTAGAACTGAACTAGAACTGAACTAGAACTGAACTAGAACTGAACTAGAACTGAACTAGAACTGAACTAGAAAAGTAGAACTGAACTAGAACTGAACTAGAACTGAACTAAAACTAAAACTGAACTAGAACTGAACTAGAACTGAACTAGAACTGAATTAGAACTGAACTAGAACTGAACTAGAACTGAACTAGAACTGAACTAGAACTGAACTAGAACTGAACTAGAACTGAACTAGAACTGAACTAGAACTGAACTAGAACTAACTAGAACTGAACTAGAACTGAACTAGAACTGAACTAGAACTTAACTAGAACTGAACTAGAACTGAACTAGAACTGAAAGAATATAACTGATCTAGAACTGAACTAGAACTGAACTAGAACTGAAGTAGAACTGAACTAGAACTGAACTAGAACTGAACTAGAACTGAACTAGAACTGAACTAGAACTGAACTAGAACTTAACTAGAACTGAACTAGAACTGAACTAGAACTGAACTAGAACTTAACTAGAACTGAACTAGAACTAAACTAGAACTGAACTAGAACTGAACTAGAACTGAACTAGAACTGAACTAGAACTGAACTAGAACTGAACTAGATCTGAACTA